AAGAGCAGACGCAACAGTGGACTCAAAGGAAGGGTCAGTGACAACAGTGGCGAGGAAACGCGTGACAGTAGGACTGGCAGCACGAAGGGAGTCAGACTCCGGGTCCGGACCGTCAGGAAGAGAGGACGCAGGAGGAGACGGTAGAGGGACACGCTGTGGAGCAGTGGAAGGACGCAGAGTCATATAGTGAGTGCCAGGGACAGGAGGAGGACGCTCACGCGGAACACGAGGACCAGTGCGGACAGCGCGGACAGGCGACTCTGGACGAGACTCAGGCGACGCAGGACGAGACTCAGGCTCACGACGCTCCGTAAGACCTCTAGTCGGCCCAGCGTAAGGAGAAGGACCAGGCAGCGGAGAGGCTGGCTGTAACTATGACTGCGACTGGACAGGCGGTGGACTCAGTAGGGGGGGAGTAGGACCAGTAGAAGGCGGTAGGCCAAGAACCTGCTGAAGGAGCGGAACGTAGTACGGCCGCGGCCGCGCAGCGCCTCCTGAACCAGCAGAGACAGCACCAGCACCCTCAGCTCCAGGGTCTCCAGCGACAACTCCCGCACCACCACCAGAAGCTCCAGCAGCTCCAGGACCTACAGCTCCAACTCCCGCAGCAGCTCCAGTCCCAGTAGCTCCAGGACCTCCAGTACGAGCACCTCTAGGACCAGCGGCCCTAGCACCTCCAGCTCCAGCAGCACCTCCAGCAGCTCCAGCACCAGCAGCACCTCCAGTAGCTCCAGCACCAGCAGCACCTCCAGTAGCACCAGCGCCAGCAGCACCTCCAGCAGCACCAGCACCAGCAGCACCTCCAGCAGCACCAGCACCAGCAGCACCTCCAGTAGCTCCAGCACCAGCAGCACCTCCAGTAGCTCCAGCACCAGCAGCACCTCCAGCAGCACCAGTACCAGCAGCACCTCCAGCAGCACCACCAGCAGCTCCAGTAGCACGGCTACAGCGCCGAGCGTACCACTCACGAAGCTGCCGTGGAGAGAGGGGCTCCCGCCGCGACGGGACACTCGGAGGACCTCCAATCGCAGCACCCCCAGACTCAGCACCCCCAGGCTCAACACCAGCAGGCTCAGCACCCCCAGACTCAGCAACCCCAGGCTCAGCACCCCCAGACCCGGCACCCGCAGGCTCAGCACCCCTAGCAGCACCAGAGTCGACAGCTACCTCAACAGGCTCGACTGCGTCTACCTGAGACACACCTGAGGGGGCAGGACCCTAAGGGGGGAGGGGGTCTACCGGAGGAGTACCTGGCGCGAGGAAGAGCGGCGGGGGGGGGGAGGGGGGCAGTGCGGTAGGGGAAGAGACGGTAGTAAGGAACCGACTCGTCAAACGTGACGTCCTGAGAGGACAGAACACGGCGCGAGGTGGGGTGGTAAAACTGCCAACCAGGCGCGTCAGGGGGGAAGCCAAGGAAGACGCAGGGAACGGCACGGGAGGACAGCTTGTCCGCAGACAAGTCGCGGACGAAAGCTCGAGATCCCCAGACACGGAACACAGACGCATCGCCAACCTTCCCCGTCCACCGCAGAGTAGGTGTGGTCTCCGGCAAGGAGACACGAGGCTGAAGGTTGATCTGATGCGCAGCGTACTGAACCGCGAACGGCCACAGAAAATGGGGAGCAGCCGCATGGATCATGGACGTACGAGCGACATCCATGACCATGCCAATGCGGCGCTCAGCAATCCCATTTTGCCACAGTCCACTCCTCTGCCTACGCGCCACTTGCTCTCAGCTCTGCCTTCGGATGAGTCCGTAGAGCCGAGTGGCCCGTATCCAGAACTTGTGGGCTGCCTCATGTACCTGATGACCTGCACTCGACCTGACCTTGCATACCCTCTTAGCATCCTAGCACGCTATGTCGCTCCTGGCCGACACAGGAAGGAGCACATGGATGCTGCTAAGAGGGTGTTGCGCTACTTGTGCAGTACGTCGGGCATGGGGCTCGTGCTTGGAGGGCGAGGTCCAGTGGTCCTCACTGGTCACGCAGACGCTTCTTGGGCTGACGACTTGGCTACGCAGCGGTTGTCACAGGGTTACACCTTCAGCCTTGGTTCCGGCTCTGTTTCGTGGCGGTCTACCCGCTCGTCTTCTGTTCTCGGCTCTAGCTGTGAGGCCGAGATCTATGCAGGGGCCATGGCTGCACAGGAGTTACGCTGGCTCACCTACCTGCTGACCGACCTGGGAGAGCCGCCTCGTTCTCCTCCAGTTCTGTACGTAGACAGCAAGGCCATGTTGGCCTTGTGTCAGGAGCACAGACTGGAGCACAGAACGAAGCACATTGCTCTTCGCTACTTCCTTGCACGTGAGTTGCAGCAGCGTGTTCAGCTGCGCCTTGCTTACGTGGCCTCTCCGGCCAACACTGCTGATATCTTTACCAAGGCACTTCAGCCTTGTGATCATCAGCGCTTCTGTACTATGTTTGGTCTTGTGCCTTCCTGGCCTCACTTGCTTACCTCTTGACTTTGCTTTGTACTGTGATCTATATCCTGCACCTGCCTATTTACCTTTATATATAATCCTGCATGTGAACTGGCCTTGTGGCCTTTGAAATTGTGACCGGAATGTGTGATGACGTTGTGATCCACCCTGAGCTTGCTGTGCTTTGCTTGACTGGTCTTGTGACCTCTTGTTCTCCCCCACTTTGCCTATGGGGGTGTGTGGGCTATAGCTTGTCATATAGCTTGTCTAGGCTATAGTGGGGTAGACACTAAGGGGTACAGTTTCCTAGAGTTTCCTACTTGTACCCAACCTTGTTCTAGTTCATTCATTCCTATTTCTTCACACGGAGTACGTGGCGGCAATAGAAGCCGGCAAGGAGGGACGTCGACTTCGTTTTCTTCTTGCAGAGTTCCGGCAACTGGACGCCGGGACACCGACTGTCCTTCGGGTGGACAACAAGTCGGCCATCACAGTCGCCGAGGGCATGGGGTTGACGGGCAACCTCAAGCACATGGAACGGCGGCAAGCCTGGCTGCAACACATGGTGAAGCGTGAGAAGTTCTCACTGAGGTACATCCCGACTGCTAAGCAGCCAGCCGACTTCCTGACGAAGGCGCTGCACTACCCGACCTTCAACCGGTGCTCCGTCGCAGTCGGCCAAGTGCGTCTGGTCGACGTCGGCGACGGTGACAACGACGTGCAGCAGTAGGTGCTATGCCCTCTTGCATGGCTGGTGCGGTGACCGGCGTGCTGTGTGTTGGGTGCACGCCGACGAGCTATTCTCTGAGCAGTGTTGCCGTGTGGGCTGGGTGCCCAAGTGTGAATGCGGCAGGGGAGTGTCAACGGGAGGTGTTGTTGGCCCCATCCTCACTTGGGGCGGAGCCGACTTCGTGGTCGGGTGTGAGGAGTGAAACCGACCTGCAGCAGTGGGGGAGCTGGTCGACGGGTCTGGTTGACCTGCACGGGGGCCCCTGCAAGGGCGCCGACTTTGGAAGGGCGCCAACTTCGGCTGGTCGACTTGGGAGGTCGACCAGTAGAGGGCGTCGACTTGGGTGACGTCGACTAGGGGAAGCCGACTTGGTGTGGTCGGCTGACAGGTGTGCTGGTCGACCTAGAGTTGGTCGACCAGGTGTGTTGTCGACCTGGAGCTGGTCGGCCAAGGGTGTGGTCGACCTGGTGTGGTCGACTGAAGGTGGTCGTCGACTTGGGAGGTCGACAGACACACGAGGAGGCAGCTGGTCGACGTGGTGGTTGCCCGGTCGACCAGGTTACCTGGGTGACGAGGTTCTGCGGAGGAGTGCGACGGTCGCCCAGGTGGTAGTGGCGAGACCGACCTCGGTGGTGGTATCTCGAGGTCGACGTGGCTGGTGGGCGCAGTCGCTGGCGTGGAGTCGAGCTGGACGTCTGCGCTGTGCACGTGACAAGGAAAAGTGCACCAACCAGCTGCACGCATCTGCGAAGCAGGTGCACCGTTGTCCTGCGAGTGCAACGCTGTGCAGCCGACTTGCTGCAGCGTTGGCAAGCCGCGACTTTGCTCTGCTGGAGCGCGGTCGACCAAGTCGTGCTGGCACGCGGTCGACCGTGCTGCGCTGGAAGTCGACCAACAGCTTTGCTAGGTCTGATGTAGTATTGCATGCCAATGTTGTTGCTATCATTCTGAACCATTGTTCTCAACTTTTGCTAGTGAAACTCTTGCAGTTTTGCCCTGTGAACGCACAAGTGCTATAGAACGACTAAGTGAACGAACGCAGAGATCCCTCCTACCCCGTGCCTAGCCCGTAGTCTAGCTCCCGTTGATAGAGTTATCTCCGCAGTCACTGTGTGCATATGGTGACTTCTCTCCTCACCAACACGGTCCTTCAACCCAAAAGCCTGATACTTCTCTTCCTCCCTCACCCAGTCCCGCATCCTGGCTCCTTTCATCCGGATTGTTGGAATGGTGACTTGGCAGCAAGATTTCCCTTTGAAGGCACTTCAAACTGTAACAAGCACACCCCCTGTCCCTTCTTCCCTATGCCCCAGGTTGGTAGCAGATGCTTGAAGGGTGATCCGGCAGCAACGCCTTCCTTTACACGCATTATAGATTTACTGGAGCAGATTCAATAGGAGATTAGCCGACCTGGCAATAGCTCGAACGCTAAGGCATCTGGCACTGCATGTTGTACAAATTTGTTGTGGTTGTGATGCAACCGTGCCGAATCCCAGCTTGGTGTAGCGTTTTAACTCAATGCCATTGCGGTGTTTGTGCATATGTAAGCATTCACATATACAGAGAGTCAGAAGAATTTGCAACAAGAAATGACAACAGCCATGCCCATATCAGGAATACTGGATATGATATGCAGGGAAACTTAAATTACAAAGTGTACCATAACTACACTACCTAATAATAGTAATTAAAAAAAAGGCCATTCGAAGCTGCACCCTCGAGCCATGGCTGCAGCTCCTTTCGCACGTCAATGGCTGCTATGTAAGCTGTACACGGAAACTTAAGCAACAAAGTGTACCATAACTGCACGAGTATGACACACCAATAAACGAATCAGAGATGGCCTTTCTAAGCTGTGCTTTCGAGCCACGACTGTAACTCCTTTTGCACGTCAACGGCTACAAAGTCTGAAACACGGACGGTGCTCGCTCCCCCCAGGAATGCAAACACTGGCGCAGGAATCAAGGGCCCAGACATTTCCTGCTGGGCCAATGCACCACTCACTCCGTGCTCTGCTGCGGTCAGGAACGCTGCAAGCTGATCTAGATGAGGTTTGCGCCTTGAAAGTACGCTTCTGTGGGCATTTATCTGTTCCCTTGGGGCTGTTTGCTGCACCAAGCCCGGACAATGCATGGTTTGGCAATCGATTTGATTGGTTGAGCAACCTTGAAGCTGCTGCCCTGAAAAGGCTCCTTGCATCAACCGTGCTCCCTGCATCCCCTGTGCTTCTTGTCTCGAATCAGCAGCGCACAGCAGATGAAAGGCTTGGCCGGAGCACAGCCCATCCTGCATGCCCCCATCAGCCGTCTTCTGAGGCGCCTTAACGGCTCCTTGTACAGTTAGTGCTGCTTGCATCGACTGTGTTTGCATCAGCAATGTTTCTTGTCTTGCACCTATGCAGCACAGCCCCCCGGCCTGCGTGCCCCCATAAGCCATTGCTGCTGCACCGGGTGAGTTGTCGGTCAGGAGTGGCATGTGTGGGGTTGAGGGCTGAGCTGCTGCTTGCATTGGCGTGTGAACAGCATGGCGCTGGCACTTGCTGGAAGAGCCGGGAGGATCTACCTCCTGCTGCTGCTGCTGCTGCTGCTGCTGCTGCTGCTGCTGCTGCTGCTTCTGCAGCAGCATTAATCCCACCTTCTCCCTCACCTCTTCAGAAGAATAAGCACGCAGTCGAGGGGAGCGGTGCTCGTTCCAACGGGATATGCTCGTGCCGCAACCGGTCGAGTGTTTGCTGCTCCAGGTAAGCAGCTCCTCTGGTGCAGCCATTGTCTCAGGGTCCACACGAGCAAAGGCTTGAGCACAGGCTCGGTCACAGGCTTGCGCAGGTGGAGCAGGCAGCTGTGCATCCATTGCAGAGGCTGGGCGCTTCCGCGGATTCATGAGCGCACCAAGGCTGGTGGCTGTCAGGGGTTCTGAGGCACACACAGCTGGGCACCTTTGCATCAAATCGGAAGTCACTGCAGGTAACTGTGTGTCCATAGCAGAGGGCAGCCAATTCTGCCATTTCACCTGCGTGTCAGGGCCGATGGCTGGGTCAAGTGGAAAAGGAAAGGGGGCTTCAGGGAGAGTGAGAGGGAGAGTGGGAGGGAAAGTGGGAGGGAAAGTGGGAGGGAGAGTGAGAGGGAGAGTGGGAGGGAAAGTGGGAGGGAAAGTGGGAGCGAAAGTGGAAGGCAGAGTGTAAGGGAAAGTGGGAGGGAGGGTGGAAGGGAGAGTGGGAGGGAAAGTGTAAGGGAGAGTGGAAGGGAGAGTGGAAGGGAGAGTGGCAGGGAGAGTGGAAGGGAGAGTGGCAGGGAGAGTGGCAGGGAGATTTTCAAAGAAGGTCTCAAGCATGTCTGAGGCGGGGTGCATTACACCAGTGATGGTGCATGCTCTGTTGTTGCTTTGTATGAAGGAATCAGTCAACGACAGCAGCAACGCCGTCACTTGTTGCTCTGACAGCTGCTCTTGCTCTTGCTCTTGCCGCTGCCTCTGCTGCTGCTGCTGCTGCTGCTGCTGCTGCTGCTGCTGCTGCTTCTGTTGCTGCCACAGTTGCTGGCGCAGTTGCTGCAGCACCATCACATCCTGCTGCGTATCAAACCCAGTAGCATCAGATGCAGCACAGTAGTCAGTCAAAGCACCGCCTAGCCCAGACCCCATTGGTGCTGCCAACCTCGGCTCTGAAGGGTCATGCACCCTTCCCTCCCCATCGTGATGCAAATCACGACAAAAAATATCCCCATTGCCCACCACCACACCATCTGCGCTCAGCTCCTCCTCAACCCCCCCAATCTCTCTAAACTCCGGCGAAAGTCCCACATGGTTGGTATTGCGACACAGTGGCAGCTCTTGAAGTTCTTGCTTCGTAGGCGGAACTGTTCCCAGCAGGGAGTATATTTCATCCATCGGATCCTCCTCATCATCATACAATGGACGGCTATCATCTTCTCCTAGCATCTCCCAGCTGAACGCCACAGGCGGCATTTCCATAGGCTCTGTACACCTTCCAACATCAACAGTAGCATCGATTTTCAGGCCAGTGGAGCAGCCATTGACGTGGATAGTACCAGTTAGCTGTGGGGGAGATGAATGGAGGTGGATCGGCAGGGGATACATTGGGGAAACATCCCACAGAGGTACACAAGTATATTCGGGTAACTGCTCCTCCTGACCGGGAGAGTGCCAAAGGGCTGCTGCGGCCCAATCGGCAGAATCAGCAACACCATCAGCAGCAGCAAAAGCAGCACCACCAGCCGCACGAGTAGCAACAGCAACACCAGGAGCACCATCAGCAGCAGCTGCACCAGTAGCACCAGCACCACCATCTCTAGCAGCAGCAACAACAACAGCGCCAGCATTGAGAGTACTAGCAGCAGCTGCAGCACTCACTTCCATGCTCTCATTCTGCAATGCATGCACCAGGACGTTCTGAGCCTCCCCAGAAACAACATACAGGGGGTTCAGAGACCCATAAGAATCAGCAGCTGGGGTAATAGCTGCACCAAAATCATTCCCCAACGCGTTCAGGCCACCACCGAAATCAGCAGGCCGAATGGCGTCTGGTGCAGTGATACCATCACCACTGTGTGAAGCCGCGAGGTTTTTATGGGGCCCGTTCGTGCGGCCGGTGGGAGGGTCGGTAGGTCGATCGTTCAGGTGATTGATAGGACGGTAATGGCGCCTGTTTAAGCACTTTGCGGGGAGGTTAACGGGGAGAAAGTGGCGATTGAGAGGACGGGCTCGTCTGGAAGGCAAGGGGTGGTTGTGGATGCGGTTGTGGTAGGCGACTTGGATAGAGTCTGGGGAGAGCTGCTCCGAGCCGTTGCTGCAGTTGATGTCAACGGTCTTCTTGGCCGGGCAGCGCGGTATGGCCTTATAGCGACTGCACCTGTAGTAACACCTGATGAAGCCGGAGGGGGGAGAGGGGGGGAGGGTGGTATGAGATGATAAACTCTACAGCTCAGCAATTGTAGTAGCACCTGTGATGCAGGGGAAAGAGTTAAGGATGTGACTTCAAAAAATTGTCGGTCCTAAATCTGCCCTTACTGGCCCTGTGCAAACTTAAATTTAACCCCAATCCCAAACTTTGTCTAGGACGAAACATTTGGAGAGGAAACTGTTGCCCAAATGTATCCTACCAGACCGTTTCGGGAAGACAAAAGCAGCACAGCACCGTGCTACAAAAAGGCAATGGGTTTGAGTCGCGATTCTGCACTCACCTGATTAAACATACATTATGCTGACAATGGACAATGGACAGCTGATCTACACAGTCAACAGGAGTTAAAGCAAGTCCAACACAGACATAGAAGGTCCAAAACACAGCCAAGAAGGGCCCTTCTCGGGTCCTGGAAAAGTAATTTCCAGACCCAAAATAGACTCCTTCAAGGAGTCTGATTCCAATGCGTGCTGAGCATCCTGAGGAGTCTGAAAAGGGTCCGGAAAGACCCCCAAAACACTGCTGTTGAGTCAACACAAGTAAAAGGAAGTTTACAAGGCAGACCTGGTGGCGTTGGAGCGCTGCACTTGCTTCTGGCCGTACTTGAGCCAGTTGTGCCCATCGGAGCCCACCACCCGCGCCACCATTTCCTCCCACCCTGGCCGCCCCCAGTCCTGCTCACACCCCTCCTGGCTGCCCGACTCATTCTCAGAAAGGTGATGGCTAGTCGCGCGTTCAGAGCCCAGCCGGCTAGAGGTTTCTTGCTGAGGATTCTCCAAGAGCCGACTCGTGCCTTTCTCGGCGGAGGGTTCTACCATAATGGTTCTGCCGGGCAGCGACCTACATCCAAGCAGACTATTACTAGAAGTAGTTGTCGTGGTTTTTATACTATGAGTGGAAAATGAATGCAAGGTTCTCTGCTGACAAAGACTGATGATGTTACTTTCTCGTAGGAATGTGGCACCACGTGGTAGTACGGCTCGGAGCCGAATTAATTCCCAATGCCGGCGGCCTCTGTCCGGCCTCTGTCCGGCTCCTTGAAAGGAGCATTAGAGCAGCCGCTGAAGGTCAGACAAGCACGCTTGTGGACCACTGGCAGAGCGAGCGGATGGTCATTCCTTCCTTGAAGGAAGGCCAAAAAAACAAAACAAAACAAAACAAAACATTTAAGATATTACCCTTTAGTCATCAGCCATCCAGCAGTGGCGCATACGTCGTATGCTAGATAACTCTCCGACTCGAAAAGTGCGGACATCCACGATGGACGAGGCGCGGTTTAGCAGGACTGGTTAAACAAGGTGTTGTGTCCGGTACTACTACCAGTGGGGACACTGTCTCCAGTTACAAGGGTTCAAATGAGAAGTTGCGAATTCCGTAGTCATGCCGTCGTGACTTGTGCATGGAAGCTGTTCAGGTGTTCTGGGGAAAGAGATGACCCTTTTTTTGCCTTTCACCACGATGTCACCACCAGGGCTGTCGAAGCAATGACATATGCCCTCTGAACATTCTGGGTTACTTTCTGCGCATCTCGGCCGTTTAAAGTGTTTGACTCTAGGGGTACCCGTGATGGTTCAGGGTTTCGTTTGGCCCTTTCCGGGAGTCGTTAAGGGCTCGATATGGTCCCTCCCCTGTTTCTAAGTGTTGATTTCAATACTGAGGACCCCCTGCTCCCACCGCTTAACTACCCTTGCCGTGTCCCCGCCTCCCCCTTCCTATCGAATTGCACAAGAAAACCAATCCTGCGTGTGCGTAGTGGTGGAGTGCTTAGGTGCGGCGAGACTATACGCAAATTAGAGCGACTTAGCATTACGCTGAAATCGACCTTTGTTTTTGTTTTGCTTAAGTACACTCTACTCCAGAGCCCTAATTTCAAGTGTTGTCTTTGGCTTGCGCCCGTGACGGTTAAGGGCGAGAATAGGTTCACCTACGTGAAAAAACGGGCTGTTTTTCGAGCAGGTGAGGGTTCCAATTGCTGCTCCCAAACACTTCAACAGGCCTGGTCACCACCACCAAAGTCTCAATACAACAGTGATTTTTTGTCTGGCGGGATTGGTTCATTTTCCATATTGCTGATAATCACGAATCATGCCCCTTCCAGAATACACATACAGCAATATGGATTCTGTAGTTGATGTGTAGTGGCGGGCAGCAACTGTACAGATCTGTGCGTTTCGGGCGCACTGTTACTGCCCAGAATTCGATCACAGCGCAGAGTTGTTCTTTCATTGGTCACAAAACTGACGGGCCGACAACTCTGCTTGGGTTGACGGCCACGAACCGTCAAACGCTAATATTTCGGGCATAACAAATATAAAACCCTATCGGGTGGCATGTTTTTTTAGGGAGTCATCAACCCTAAACACCAGGCGAGAAGGTGTTTAGGGTTGATGCCCTTCCCAACGAGTATATTTTTTCGATGGCTTGCTATCGATAGAGCATCAACCCTAAACACTATTCGGAAGGTGTTTCGGGTTGATACCCTTCTAAATGGAGTAATATTAATTAATCACCAAAAGCATAAATAAATAGATACTGTTTTCACTGGCAGTATCCACAGGTTCAGTTTGTAGTTATGTGCGACGTGTCGACCAATGAAAACAAAACTGCGTTGAAATCGCATTTTCCGCGCTCTAAGCGAAAACTGGGCAGTGATAGTGCGCCAGAAGCGCTGTACACATGATGCCCGCGAAACGGCCCACTCTCAACATGCCCCAAAACAACCGACAGGAGCAGTGGTCAACAAACATTCACAGCAAATGGCCCACAGCCTACACGCCCACGACAAAACCCAAAACTTTGACCGCGAACAAGTTAGCCAAATTCCCCATGCAAAACACTCGAGGCTACCTGTAAATTTGGAACTGTAGTTCTAAATGTAACCACACTCCTACCAACAGGCCCATTTTGCCCCTGATTGTCGAGAGTGCGAGACAGGAGGAAAAGGAAAGATGGGGAAGGGGAGTGAAAGGGGAGCGAATAAGTACAGTAACAGTACGTGATCAACTCAAAACCCTTTGTCACGCGTGACATGCAAGGCACAATGAAGAACAGCCCGGAAAGCAGCATCAGACACATCTGGAGCAAGTGGATTCTTCTTGTCCTTTATGCAGAACTGTTCACGTAACGGGTCTCCCGAATTTTGACGTGGCCCATTTCAGGGCTGCTGGGTGATTTCAGATATCAACAGGCCTGCCTTCACAATTCACGCTGTAAAACAATATTAAAATGTCGGCTGGTCACTTTATGGGCACGAACACTTCATTGGATATTCCTGAGATTCTACTGAAGAATCACAAAAGAGTGTCTGTCTGGGGACATGCCCACCAACAGAAAGTATTCGCCTTGGTGTTTCAAATTATCATCTCAAAGTGCGAAAGGCATGTTCCTTTCGGTTTTTGTTACTAAAACTCAGAACCTTCAGGGCACGAAGGCTTCTCTCAGCTCAGCCATCAGACAAAATCTAGCAAAGAGACGAGTTTGCGGGGTTCGAATTCTGTATACTGTACGAAGACGGTGATTTGCTGCGGTCAGAAAATTGCTACTCTCTGACAGTGGGCATGCACTGGTATTTCACAAAAACTAAACAAAATAGCAAAAAGCGGGCTGTCAGTTCACCATCTCGGAAATGCCAACCAAACAAATGCCCCCCCTCGCCCTGCGCTGGATGACAGACCCCACCCACGCTCCCCTGTCCTTTGCGGACGAAGTGGGCAGGGCACCGACTCAGAGTGCGGTGCGGAATGATCGCCTGAACAAAAACAACCTCGCTAAAAGACTGACTCGCCGGCCGTCAGCTCGCCAGCCGTCAGCTCGCCGGCCACCGGCTTATCCGACCGGCCGGACAGAGGGAAAACGTTAGGATTTGCCCGTCTCGCATGTAAAATATCAATAGCTCAATGATGTTTCTCACAGAACCAGAAATGGTAACGTTTGTATTGAAGTTCTTATATAGTATATATACAATTATGTATAGTTTATGCATTCATAAGTCCAGATCAGTATCAAACTATTAATAATTGTGATTTATAAACTTTCAGCAAAAAAA